AGAATTTAAAAAAAGAATTTGAAAATAATTTAATTTCTGAAAAATATTTTATTACTTTTCAAAAGAATTGAATATTGCCAAAGAATTTTATTATTTATGAAAATAATTGAATTTTAAAATGAATTTTATTCGAATTCCTAAAAATAATTAAATTTTATCGACGAATTTTGCTATTCATTTATAAAGATAATTGAAATGTTCACAATTTTTTGTAGATTCTTTAAAAATAATTGAATTTCTGCGAAGAATTTTATTAATTTTGAAAATAATTTAATTTTTGCAAAGTATTTTATTACTTTTCAAAAGAATTGAATTCTTGTGATGAATATTGATATTTATCGAAATAATTGAATTTTGGAAAAGAATTTTATTATAAAATTCCTTAGAATAATTGATTTTATTGGAAGAATTTATGCGATTTTGTTGTTTATCAAGCTAATTGAATTCTTTTGTAAAATTACTTAAAAATTTTTGAAAATAATTGATTTTCTGTGACGAATTAAATGTTATTTATGAAAATATTTGAATTATTGCAACGAATTTTATTGTTTTATTGAATAATTGAATGTTTCTTAAAATTGAATTCTTTCCTCAAGTTTTAATAAAATTTTTATTAATAATTGCATTTTTCAAGGAATTTATTGAAAATTGTATTAAAAATATTTGCAATTCTGCGATGAATATAATTGAATTCGTAAATGAAATTTTATTATTTTTGAAAATAATTGAATTTTTGGGGAAAAATTTTGCTATTTGTAAAGATAATTGAATTCTTGACGAGATATTTGTGAAATTTTTTTAAAATGATTGAATTTCTTCGAAGAATTTTATTACTTTTGAAAATAATTGAATTCTTGGGATAAATATTGAAATTTATGAAAATAATTGAATTTTGTAAAGAATTTTATTGAAATTCCTAAAAATTATTGTAATAATAAATAATAATAAAATAGTAATAATAATAAATAATATTACAAAAAACATTTTTAGTTTTTCTATCATACTTAATTTTTTAAGCTATAAAAAATTACAACATTTGAAAAAAAACTAGAAAATTATAGTTTTAAGTACAGTAAATTGAAAAATTAAAATTAATTGTTTAAAATTGTTTAAATAATTAATTTTTAGTTCTTCTTTTATACTTGAATATTTTAGTTACAAAAAAATGTACAATACAGAAAATACCATAAATCTCTAGCCCTAAGAACAGTTTATAACAAAAATAATAACAATTAACTGTTTAAACAATTTTTAAAATTATAACAATTTATTAAATTCAAACAAACAAATTGAAATTAATGCAGATTTTTGTTCTTTACTTCTAAGGAAAATTAGAAAATTGTTAAACAATTGCGATTAAGAAATAGAAAATTCATTTATTTTGCATTATTTTTATTTATGCATCACAATTTTTTTTAACAAAATTATTATTTTGTTTTAGAAAAAGAAGAAAAATACTTGCACAATTCCTATTTTTAATCTTATTTTTGGAACAAAATTTTCCACAGGAATTAAGACATTTAAAAATTTCAAATTTAAATCTTTTTTGAATTAAACAACTTAGAAAAGTATATTGTAATAAAACATGAAGTTATCGAGAGATAAAATCATTATTTTATATTATAAGAATATTGTTACTCTAACTTCATCAAAATTATTTTCATCATTTTAATTCAATTATTATTTTTTAGAAATTTCTTATTTGAATTATTAATTTAATATTATGTAGTACTAAAAAAAGTTCATTGTTTTATAACTTGATTTGCAGTTTTATTTGAAAATGCTATAAATAATCAATAATAAATTGTTTAAACAAATGAAAAATATTTATCGTAAATTTTACATGACTGAAATTGTCATCCTATCAACAAAATAAATGATTAATTTATACTGTTAAAAAAATAGTTTAAGGAATCTTTTTTCAGAAATAAGACCTTTTATTAGAAAAAATTTGATTTAAAATTGAATATGAAAAAAATATGCATTTAAAGTAGATTGGGAATATCGATTTGGACATTTTGCATCCAGTAGGATCTCATCTCTATTTGTGGTAATAGAAAATGAAGCGAGATTCGTGCACGTATGCTGTTTTGGTAGCCATAAATAGGGATCGTGCCTCGAAGCTAATACTGAACTCCATCCAACAGATTTCGTAGAGGAATTTCTCTCTGTGTCCCTATACGTGATCCATGAACCTGGCATAGTTTGTGGTTCAACTCAAACCGAATTGGGGGTCTATGGTAACGAGAAACTAGGACCTGTTTATATTCAGCATCAAACTATAGTTAATGAACTCGGATTACAATCCTATATATGGAATTTCAAATTTGAATGTACACACAATATCGACAATCTTCTGTTTAAATTTTACTCTAAACAATTATTTTTGGTAATTGCTATCTCAACTTTTCATTGAAATACTTTTTTTCATGGTTTTCTCTATAGATGTATAAAAAAAATTATACCAGTGCTAATAATATAAATATGAGCAAATTTTAAACGTTCAGAAATAATATTATTCTTACTTACTTTATAAACTAAAATTAGCAACTTTAAAAATAATGGAATTTAAAAATTTGCAATTCAAATTTTTGTTGAAAACACTAAAAAAATTGAATTTTGGAGAAATTACAAATCATAGGAGAAATTCAGTTATTCTTAAAAGTAATAAAATTCTTCTCATAAAATTCAATTGTGTTACAAAATTTTTAAAAAATTCTCGTCACAATTCCAATTATCTTTATAAATAACAATATTCTTCATCAAAGTTGGATTATTTTCAAAAATGTCAATAAAATTGTTGTCCTAATTTCAATTATTTTCAAAAATGTTTCTCATTTCAATGATTTTCAATATTTACTATTTTAATAAAATTTTCCAAAAATAATTCAATTATTAAAAAAAAATTTTAATATAAAATTGTACGCTAACATTTAGTTATTTTCATAAATAATAAAAATTTCACAGGAATTCTGTTATTTACAAATTTTTTATAAATTTCTTTGCAATAATTCGGTGGGGGGTCAATATTCCCAAAATTTTTTTTCCAAAAAAAATTATTCCCAAAAAATGTTTTCCCAAAAAAAATTTTTCCCAATATTATATTTCCTAAAAAAAAAATTTTCAAAAAAAAAATAATCCAACATTGTCCACCAATCCGTTCGAACTAGAATTTAAAAAAAAAAATTTCAAACTAGAATTTACTCAAACTATTATTTTTTCAAACTACAATTTATTAAAAGTATTTTTTTAAACAAAAATTTATTGAAACTATTATTTTTTCGAAATAGAATTTATTGAATATAATATATATATATATATATATATATATATATATTTATATTTATTCAAATTATTATTTTTCTAAACTAAAATTTGTTTAAAATAGAATTTACTCAAACTATAATTTTTCAAACCACAATTTATTCAAACTATTGTTTTATCGAAATAAAATTTATTGGAACTATTATTAGTTCGAACTAGAATTTATTCAAATATTTTTTCAAACTAGAATTTACTGAAAATATTATTTTTTCAAACTTGTTACGTATTAACAATCACTTGGAATGTGATTATTTACTACTAATTTGGCAATAAATATACATTTTGGAAAAAATATAACATTGGGAAAATTTTTTTAGAAAATAATAAGTGAATTGAAATGATGAAAATAATTTTGAACAAATTGCAGTAACAATATTCTTATAATATAAAATAATAATTTTATCTCTCGGTCATCTTTAATTATTATGAAATATGAAGAAATCGATATCTTCATGTTTTATAACAACACTTTTATATGTTGTTTAATTTCAAAAAGGTTTGAATTTGAAATTTTTGAAAATTTTAATTTCTATTGAAAAATAATAATTAATTAAATATTTATTTAAAAATGAAGTAATTGATGTATTCGAATAATTTTCAATTAAAATTTATAATTGACAAATGGAAGTTATAAACATTTTTTTCCTTTATTTAAAAAAAAAATTTTTTTTTTTACCTCTATGAAAAAGTTAATTCTCTAAAAATTTAGTCATATAAAAATTAGAGATGCTTAACTTGAAAAAAATTCTTTTCTCATTTTTCGTTTTTAAAAACTTTAACCCCATCAAAATTTAAAGTAGTTCACGTTTTAACACAAAGAGATATTTAAAACAAGTAATGAAATCTTTAATGTTATTTATTGGTAATATTTTCTTTAACATTTTCTTTTTTTATCATCATTTATATTTTGGTTGTTTAATGAAATTATAGTAACTAAAATTTTTTTTCGGTATATGTTTTGAAAGATGATAAAATTGAAAAAAAATAAGACCTTACAGAAGTCATTTGGTCAGTATTTTATTTAGATATTTTTTAGAAAACGTAATTTTCAATGTTTTACAAAAATTTGAATAACTTCTAAAATAATAAACGCTTTTAAGCTTAATTTTAATGTCATTTTCTACAGAATAAGAATTATTTATTGGCATTAACCTGTAATTTTTTTCTTTGAATAAGCAGGACGTCAAAGTTAGACCAAAAAATTTTCAAAATTTGAAATAATCTTATTAAAAGAAACATCATTTTTAAAATTCAAAATGGTGGATCCAATATGGAGGAAAAAAAATTAAAAATTGTTTGGATTTGTCTGAAATTCATTACTCGGGGGTTTTTGGAGTCATTTATTATGAATCTAGCATCAGATTTTTTAAATTCAAAATGGCGGATCCAATATGGCGGAAAAAAAAATAAAAAATTGTTTGGGATTTGTCTGAAATTCATTATACTTTGGGTTTTTGGAATCGCTGATTACAAATTTGGCACCAGATTTTAAAAATTCAAAATAACGGATTTTTGAAAAAGTCAATAAATGTAGTAACATTAGTAATTTTTTGATATCCAGAAATTCCGAGAAATAGTTTTCGACGCCAACTTTAGGGACATTGTAATTATTTATTTTCCATTATGAGACCTAAAACACATAAACTATGTAATTAAATAAAAAAAAGGTGACTTACATTCTTTTAGAACCGAAATGCTGAGAAATCCCAAAGTCTTCATAATGCAGTTTGAAATCTGTAAAAAAAAGAAAACTTGTTGTAAAAGTACTGTAACACAAAATTATTTTTTAAACTAATGAAATATCTCGCAATTTTAAAAAAATGTTCTTATATTATAATATTATAAACATTTCAACATAACGTGACTGTAAATTTCGTGAATGAAAATTGCTCTTCTAACTATAATTACGGCAATTTAATTTAACTCGATACATATTTAGAAAGGAAACATAAGTAATGATGTATTTAGGTAAATTATACCGTAATTTTACAATATACTACATAACATAAATCCGTCAAAATATTACTGAATTCATGGATTATTAATTCCTCCCCCCCTCCAGCTAGGATAATCCTCTAATTGATTGTTTCACAACAAGTTAAATATTCAGAAGATGTAAGTAAATTAATTTTCAGACGCAAGAAAGCAACAAAGCTTAAAACAGATAAAATATATGTATACGTATATCCACATGTTTTTCTCCCTATTTGCGTTTCTGTTTAGGCAAAAACGTTTTAATGAATTATTCAGTGAAGAATTTGCATGCAGGTGTAAGTGAAAGTTTAACTTTATTTCAACTTTATGATAAACTAATTGCATTATAAAGAATTCATGATTCTTCGTATATAAGTTTGACTGCATGTTGTGTGTTATTGTAATTAAACTTTATTGTCGAAATATACATATAAGAAGAGGTAACTCTTCTAAAAAGTGTTATTTCTTTCTCATATAAATTTTGAGATCATGTAAAAGATATGTAAAATATTTAAAATAAAATTAATTAATAAATTTATAGCAGTTATTAAAATATTAATTACATTGAATACCAATTTCATTGAAAGTTTAAAGGAAGTATAAAGCGATTCCAATAACGCGTATATACATATGCCTAACGACATTCCTCCTTAATTTTAATTACTCAGTAGCCCATTATGAACAACTGCAAATCTCGTAGTTTGTGGAAATTTCACGAAATTCGTGTAAAGCAGTACGAGTTTGGTTAATCGAAAGGTCAAATTCGATAAATGATATTGAATTCTACGAAATGTGCATGTTGACCAATAATTGATGTATACATCGAAATACTTCCAAATAATTTAAAGTAATAAATAAAGATTTTATTTAAAGCAACTATTATTTTGGGCAAAAATAAAATAACTTAAAATCACTTAAACTCATTTTTAAAAAATCGATTTTCGCTTACATTTTTTTTTTTTTCTTATTAAAGTTTAATATATGTCAGAAATGTTTTCCCAAAGTTTCGAATCGATTTGACGAAAATTGAAAGACGAATTGAAAAACGAATATAACTCAAGCCAAACGGAAAGCAAGAATCTTTTGCAATGTGACACATTTGGCGAATCAATGGAGGACTTATAGTATGGCTCTGGAATCAATAATTCTAAATAAGTTTAAAAAAAAAGATTTTTATCAAAAGGTCTTATTCTTTTTGAAAACTTGAAACGCGTTTATTTGAAAATAGCTTTTTTAAAGTCGATGAACATTATTGTACCTAAAAAAAAGTCAATTGATTTTTCTTAAATTTTACACAATGCTTCTCAAGTAAGATTTACTCGTGGACAAAGAATCTTTTTCGATTTTTTATTCTAGATGGTCCTGTCTCATTTAATCATGATTATACATGAAGAATAGAGCCTCTTTCCCTCTTTCCTATTTTCCATATTTTAAATTATCTGTAAATCAAGTTTTGAGGGGGGGGGGGGGCGTGAAAAATCCACGAATGTACATGATGGGGGAAGGGGGGGGGTCAAAGTAAATGTTCACCCACGTGGACACAATCTCTTATATTTTGTTTATCCTACTTTTAAATTTTGCACTACTGTTTTATTTAATTTCACAGTAAATTGTGAGTTATTACAAAGCGTTGCAATTATTACTGAAATTTTAACTTTAAACCAAAACCAAGTCAACGATTACTAACAACTAACAATGTAACTAATTAACTTAGTTACGAACTAACTAACTTGCTTAACATAGTAACAAACTAACTAGTTATCTTCTAGTTTCAAACTAAGTTACTAACTAATTTAGTTACTTACTATTCACTAAGTTAGTAACTAAGTTAGTAATTTAATTAGTTAGTTAGCCAGTTGATAAGTTAGTAAGTTACTTAGAAAGTTAGTTAGCTCATTAGATAGTAAGTCAGTTGATAACTAAGTTAAGTAAGCTAGTTAGTAAGTTATTTAGTAATTCAGTTTGTAAGTTAGGCAGTTAGTTAGTAAGTTAGTTAGTAAGTTAATTAAGTTATCAATAAGTAAGTATGTAAGTTAGTTAGAATGTTAGTTCCTAAGTTTGTTAGTACACTGTAAAAAAAGGGAGTTAAATTTTAACTCCCCAGGGGATTCTATAAAAGTCGCACCCATTGGAGAGTTAATGCCAGGGGAGTTAAATAAAGAGAGTTAAAATTTAACACCCAAATGCTAACTCCCCATGGAAAAAATAACTCGCGCGGGTGTTGAATGAAGGGAGTTAGAAATTAACTCTCTTTTGGAGTTAATTTTTAACTCCAAAAATTTAACTCCCAACTCCCGAGTCCGTTAACTCCCTAAATTTTTTACAGTGTAAGTAAGTTAAGTAAGTAAGTTAGTTAGTAAGTTAATTAGTAATTAAGTTTGTAAGTTACTTAGAAAGTTAGTTACCTCATTGGTTAGTAAGTTATTTATTAAGATAAGTAAGTAAATTAGATATTAAGTTAATTAGTAATTAAGTTTGCAAGTTACTTACACTGTAAAAAATTTAGGGAGTTAACGGACTCGGGAGTTGGAAGTGAAATTTTTCGAATTAAAAATCAACTCCAAAAGAGAGTTAATTTCTAACTCCCTTCATTCAACACTCGCGCGTGTTATTTTTTCTTTGGGGAGTTAGCATTTGGGTGTGAAATTTTAACTCTCTTTATTTAACTCCCCTGGCATTAATTAGTAAGTTACTTATTAAGTTAATTAGTAATTAAGGTTGCAAGTTACTTAGAAAGTTAGTTAGTAAGTTAGTTAGTAAGTTACTTAGAAAGTTAGTTATTAAGTTAATTAGTAATTAAATTTGTAATTTAAATAGTAAGTTAGTCAATTAATTGGTAAGTTACTTATTAAGTTAGTTAGTAAGTTACTTAGTAAGTTACTTAGTAACTTAATTAGTAATTAAGTTTGTAAGTTACTTAGAAAGTTAGTTACCTCATTGGTTAGTAAATTATTTATTAAGATAAGTAAGTAAATTAGATATTAAGTTAATTAGTAATTAAGTTTGTAAGTTACTTAGAAAGTTAATTAGTAATTTAGTTCGTAAGTTACTTAGAAAGTTAGTTATTAAGTGAATTAGTAATTAAATTTGTAATTTAATTAGTAAGTTAGTCAATTAATTAGTAAGTTACTTATTAAGTTAGTTAGTAAGTTACTTAGTAAGTTAATTAGTAACTTAATTAGTAATTAAGTTTGTAAGTTACTTAGAAAGTTAGTTACCTCATTGGTTAGTAAATTATTTATTAAGATAAGTAAGTAAATTAGATATTAAGTTAATTAGTAATTAAGTTTGTAAGTTACTTAGAAAGTTAGTTAGTCAATTAATTAGTAAGTTAATTATTAAGTTAATTAGTAATTAAGGTTACAAGTTACTTAGAAAGTTAGTTAGTAAGTTACTTAGAAAGTTAGTTATTAAGTTAATTAGTAATTAAATTTGTAATTTAGTTAGTAAGTTAGTCAATTAATTAGTAAGTTACTTATTAAGTTAGTTAGTAAGTTACTTAGTAAGTTAATTAGTAACTTAATTAGTAATTAAGTTTGTAAGTAACTTAGAAAGTAAGTTATTAAGTTAATTAGTAATTTAATTTTTAAGTTAGTTAGTAAGTTAGTCAATTAATTAGTAAGTTATTTATTACGTTAATTAGTAATTAAGTTTGCAAGTTACTTAGAAAGTTAGTTATTAAGTTAATTAGTAATTAAATTTGTAATTTAATTAGTAAGTTAGTCAATTAATTAGTAAGTTACTTATTAAGTTAGTTAGTAAGTTGCTTAGTAAGTTAATTAGTAACTTAATTAGTAATTAAGTTTGTAAGTTACTTAGAAAGTAAGTTATTAAGTTAATTAGTAATTTAATTTTTAAGTTAGTTAGTAAGTTAGTCAATTAATTAGTAAGTTATTTATTACGTTAATTAGTAATTAAGTTTGCAAGTTACTTAGAAAGTTAGTTAGCTTGTTAGTTAGTAAGTAAGTTACTAGCTAATTATTGTCTCTGGTGAATTTAAATTCGTCGAATTTTGACAAATCATTGACTTGGTGTTTGATTTAAAGTGAAATTTCATTCATAGTAAAAAATAACACCAAAATGAATTATTTTAATCCTTTATTCTGGTGTTAATTTAATTCTAGAGGGATTAAATCATGATTTACCGTGTTTAAAAAGATTTGTTATAAAAAAATTATTTTTAATAGTATCAGGTCTCGGATATTATGACTTTTTAAACTATTTTCAAGAAATGCGACTATTTTCGATTTATTTTCAAAAATTGCGGCTTTTTTTTTACTTTTCTTCCAAATATTGCAACAAAATACCACATTTTTAGTATAAACTGCAACTTATTTCTTTTTCTATAGTAATAAAAATAACTATTTAGGTAAATCTTTCAAAATTATATTTTTGAATAATTTTTTTACTAAATTTTAAAAATATACTTTTAATTAAAAAATTTTAGAATAATTGAAATTTTGTAAAATTTAATTGAAAATAATTTATTTTTTAAAGTATTTTATTAAAATTTTTAAAAATCATCTTTTAAAGAATTTTAATTTCAAATTTTGAAAATAATTGAATTCCTTCTAATTTATAAATAAAATTTTTAAATTTTTAAATCAATATCATTATTAAGAAAAATAAATAATAATGTCGTATTTTCAATAACTAATAATAATTAATAATAATAATAATAGTAGTAATGATAGTAATAATAATGCTTTACTGATCATACACATTGGATTTTTTATTCAATTTCCCACCTTCCCATGATC